GACTGTGTGCTGAAGACCTGGGGGGTATGGGGGAAGCATTGCATGGAGGGGATTGTAACCATGGCAATGAGACAATATACGATAGAATGAATGTAAAACGAATGTTCTCCCATGTAAACTATCAGATAATTCACAATAAAACATTTAAGAAGAAAAAAAAAAAAGTATAGCATAACAGTGGATGATAATAGCACTATTCTAAGTTCTGATTTTGTTTTACAGGTGGCATTGCATGCTTGTGGAGTGGCAACAGACATGGTGATTGAGCACTGCATCAAAATGCGGGCTTCCTTTGTCACATGCCCTTGCTGTTATGGTTTCATTCAGAACACTTCAAAGTTTAATTTTCCAAAAAGGTGAAGTCGAGAGCCTACCTAACACACTAATGTGGGATAAACCAACGTATGAAACTTATTTGATATAAAGTTACAAGATTTTAGTTTTAGTTTATTTCTTTCACAATGGGAGATATTGTTTCTAAATTAGAAGAGAGGGTCTCCTCTATATCCAGCCCTAATTTTTCTCCTAGACCTAGCTCTATCTAGACTAGAGGTCTAATTGCTTTAGCACTTCTGTGTAATTCCTAATGAAATTGAAAAGTGTATCTATGAAAGTCAGTAGGATGTAATAAGTATATAGGATCTGGAACTTGACTGTGTTTGTGCAAATCTGGCTCGTCATTCTTTTACAAGGTTTACCACAGGCAAGTTACTTAAATTATTTGGCTTATATTTTCTCATCTACCGACTGTGGATTATAATTTATAGTAACTACCTCAAGGTTTTCTGTGAGACTTTAATGATATGGGCAAACCACTTAGACATAGCATAGAGTATGTACTTAGTGAATATGAACTTGGCTAATAACAGGAGCAGCTGTAGTATTTTCAATTTAGATGCATTTGAGTTATGGTGTTGGAGGAGAATATTAAAAGTACCACAGACTGCCAATAAAAAAACAAACCAATCTGTTTTAGAAGACATAGTCAGGTTGCTTCTTGGAAGCCAGGATGACCAGACTTCGTTTCTCATACTTTGAACATAATATCAGGAGGGAACTGTTACTGAAGTGTGATATCATGTTTGGTAAAGTCAGAGAAAAAAGAGGAAGACCCCCAGTGAGATGGTCTGGTACAGTGGCAGCAGCAATGGGCACAAGTTTAGCAACAACTGTGAGATTAGTGATAGACCACGTAGTGTTTCATTCTGTTGTGCAGAGGGGCACTATGAGTTGGTATGACTGGATGGCTCCTAACAACAACAATGACATGAATATGATATGTCTTTATCTTTTTATAAAGACATTTCAAACTGGTATAGTTTTTACTTTGGGTTAGCATTTTGTAATCTTCAGTTTAAATGCATCCCTGGAATTTAGGTTTTCAAGATTGTTTGTATTCTTAATTTTGATGTTTAAAATGATGACAGATTCCTTTTTCTTTTCTATTTCAGTGAACAATTCAAAGAAACTCTATCATACAAGGTATGGTAAAGATCTAGATGTCCTCCTAATTAACTAACATGCTTTTATCTCTTCATATTTTTCCTCTCAAATTTTAAATGGAATATATAATCTATAGTTATATTTGAATTGTTGTTCAGTGCTGTTAAGTCGGCTCCAACTCATAGTGACCTTGTATAGGGTTTACAATGAGTGGCTAATGAGTTTGAACCGCCAACCTTGCGGTTCAAACCAATCTTGTGATGGAGTGCCAGTCCTATAGCGCCACACCAGGACTCCATATTTTAATTACTCATTAGCAACTATTATGGCATTTTAAAAAAATTTCAGATCAAATTTTCAAATATAATTATCAAGGATCTGAGATTTTACCCTACCTGCAAGATAGGCAGTTAGCTTGCCAAAGTTTCACAGATATTCACAGAAAATATGAGTCTCCGAGTCAGAACACATGACTTTTTTGTTCATGACAATAACAGTTGTCAGATTGTTATCATTTTTCTACTTGCTTTTTGAGGTCCAGCTCCCATCCACCAAAAAAATCCACTGACATTGAGTGGTTTGCAACTCACAGCTATCACATAGGACAGAATGGAATGTTCTTTATGATTTCTGTGGCTGTCAATCTTTACAGAGGCAGACTGCTTCATCTCCCTCCTGTGGAGCACCTAGTGGGTTTGAATGGCTGAACTTTTAGTTATTAGACCAACACTTAACCCACTGATCCAGCAGGTCTCCAGTTCCCACAGAGCAACACGTGACACCCACATGCACACAGTAAGTTTCATTACAGGAGAGAAACCCTGAGCTTAGGGAACGTGAATTTTTTATAATGGGCATTAAGCGTGCCTGCCCTTTGCTATAAAGGGAGAAACTATATCTTCCAATTTTCACTGTATAAACATCCTTTAAAAGAGTACCTCAAACAGTTACAAACATTTCTATAAAAGACTAGATAGTAAATCTTTTAAGTTTTACCTTTTGATATATATCCTTCTTCGCTGTCATCATCATTGTTGTTTTGTTGTTGTTGTTAAGTGCCATCAAGTCGGTGCCAACCCATAGCGACCCTGTACAGGGATTCTGAGGCTGTAAATCTTTACGGGAGCAGAAAGCTTCATCTTTCTCCCATGAAGCGTCTGGTAGTTTCGAATTGCTGATCTTAAGGTTCACAGCCCAATTCGTAACCACTATGCTACCTTTTACTACTCTTTAAAAATGTGAAAGTCATTCTGAACTTATCAGCCATACAAAAACAAGTTGTAGCCCAGATTTGATATGTGGGTTATACTTTTCTGACTCCTAGCCTGGAACAAAGGCAACTAGTATCTTTGTTCACAAGACATAAACAAAAGAGGCCCAGGGAGAATTGTTTCTCAACAGTAGTTTGGTATTATGGCATATTGTTTTGAGTCACCAATCTGAGCAGAGATTTCTCAGTATCACCACTATCTAATAAATTGATCTATAATATGATATAATACAACTTAAGAAATATTAAGAAATAATATTTGGGAAGAATGCATACATAATTCCATTAACAACTGATGAAAGTAATTTGTGATTTTAGTTCAGTTAATTCCACTTCTTGCAGAGACTTACTGAAAACCATGTAGTCTCACTATGTATACTACCCCCTCCCTTTTAAGAATTTTACTTTCTTCTTCATCCAGGAATGAAATGGAGAACCACAATGGCCTGGAATTATTCATTTCTGCCACTTGACACCTACACCTTCTTCATCTCTATTTCACATCTTTTAAACTCTCACCTCATTCTGTCTTCTATCTCATTCCCATTTCCTATACAAATGCACACAGACATCTCTGAAGAGGAAAGGAACTTCAGAGTTTATCTTTTCATTCGGAAGCACAATAGGTCCTACTGTTTCCTACTAAATTAAAAACTAACATATGTAGTTTTGGGGGACTATACAGTGTTTGGGGAAACATTAGGGCCTTGGCAATTACTGCCATACAATTCAAAATGTAGGATACATGCTTGACTGCTATCCATGAATTTAGTGTTTCAAATCCACCAGTTGCTCCTTGGAAACCCTATAGAGGGTTGCTCCGAGTCAGAACCAACTCAATGGCACTTAACAACATCTATCGCAAGACCTGGTAAATAAGGAGGAAAAGGAACTGAGGAAAAGAGGGGAGAAGGGAAAACTAGAGTGATGCTAAATAATGCAAACTGAGAGACCAATATGGAAAAAATGTAAAATAGGGATAGGAGACCGGGTGCCACTGTAGGAGATGGAGACTCACTGCTAGCCGGCAAAGAAGGCGAAATTCCTAAAAAGTAAAGAGATACAGTGGACCGGGCTCTTCCAGAAAGCAGAACTGCCTGGCCTTCTTGTTTATCATCTTTACCTCTTGTTGTTGTTAAGTGCCATTGAGTCCGTTCTGACACATAGCGACCCTGTATAGGGTTTCCGAGGAGCAGCTGGTGAGCTTGAATCACTAACCTTGCAGTTCAAATGGCTTTGCAGTCTGGCGCATTAACCCACAGTGCCACACCAGGACTCCTTCCATACACAACGCCAAAAACTGCTTGGCCACCAGCCCTTTAGGGTGCTTCATAGAGAAGACCTAGCTTCTTGGATACTATGGTAAGGTGATATCTCAGCATTTCTTAATTGAATCAAGATGAATGTGATGGTGGTGGTTGTGCACCATCGAGTGAGTTCCAGCTAGTAATGGGTTTCCAAGGCTATAAATCTTTATGGGAGCAGAAAACCTTATCTCCCTCTCATAGAATCTGATGGTAGACTTGGTGGCCACATGCCTTGAAAATCATTCTGGATGTTTTCCTCTGCAGTTCAGTTTAGCCTCCAGTCCTCTACTGAGTACCTACTATTTTCTTTGTCCTTTCAGAACTTAACTTCTGCTAGGGAAAACACACACAAATAATTCCAATAAAATATGGCAAAACTTATCAGCACAAGAAAAAGGAAACTTTTCTGAGATTGTGATTACTTTAAAATTACCTTTATATAAAGCAACTCAACAGCACTGAACAACAACAAAATTTACCAACACCATGAGGACAAAGGGCATGGATTTTTTTTTACGTTTACTTCAAATCATCTAACTCTATTCTTCTTCTGCCTCTTTGTACCTAGTTGATAGCTGTTGCATTGTGGGAACTTTATAACAGTTATTCATATGAGCCATTTTGTTAGTCACCTACTCATTGCCGGTGGTGTGATGCTGTACTGGACTGCTACCTACAATGTCAGCAGTACAAATCCACCAGCCACTCCTCAGAAACCCTATACAGGGTCATTGTGAGTCAGTACTAACTCTACAGCACTTTAACAACATTCATTGTCACTAAATTTTACAGTGAGCATTAAAGTGTTTTTAAATACGTAATGTTAAGAAAGCAATATCCCTTTAAAATAAGACACCTCTACCACAATCGCTTCAATTACCGTATTAACAAATGGAGGCCTCATATTTAATGTACAAAATACTACAGAGACAAATGACGAATCTGGGTTCAGCCTGCTTGTAAAGCTGTCAGGTGAAAACATTTTTACCCACTTGGATACTGTTCTGAATGGATAGTTGTCATGGAAGCATTGCTTTCATTTCATTCTCTGCCTTATCACTCACATTTGGCTACTTGGAGATGTTAAGAGTAGTGTACAAATTCTTTAGTTCCCTGTCCCTTTAAGGACTTTCTTCTTCTTTTTTTTTCCATTAATGCAATCGTCCCTAAAATTGTTAAGTAGAAACAGTAATCTCCAAGTCCTCTGTACAATTAGTCCAAAAGCAGAAATACATATACACTGCAGCCCTTTGGGATAAGGGACAAGAGAAACCGTGCCTAGGATACTCTGCTCTGAAGAGCTGGTGGTGGTAGTATGCCAGCAAGTCAATTCTAACTCATAGGGCTCCTGTGTAGGATTTCTAAGACTATAAATCTTTATGGGAACAGAAAGCCTCATCTTTCTCCCATGGAGCGGCTGGTAGATTCAAACTGCTGACCTTGCAGTTAGCAGCCCAACACGTAACCCACTATACTACCAGGGTTCCTTTCTAAAGAGCTAAATGGAGGGAAAATTAAAAAAAACACACACACAAAATCCCAGCATTCCACTACCATCAAATCAATTAACTCATAACGACCTTATATAGGGTTTCTGAGACTGTCCTTCTTTATGGAAGCAAACTGTCTTATCATTCTCCTGAGGAGGGGCTGGGATGTTTGAAGTGCTGACCTTGCAGTTAGCAGTCCAGTGCTGACCTTACAGCAACACCAGAGCTCCTTGAATGAAGGGAAGAATCAGCAAAAGTAGAGGACTAGCCAGCCCTCTACTGGGTATCCCAGAGAGCTACAGAAGACACCAACAGTCATCCACGGAACCTCCCTTCTTTTACTCTGATCATATGAAAAGTCACCAAAAAGGTTTTCTTAAAACCACATTACTGAGATTCAAATAAATGTTGTTATAGGAAAAATGTGTTTACTAGGTCTTTTCATTTTACTTATTATAATCACAAAATGTAACACTGTTAATCAGTTTTTGGCCAAAAGCAATTGATCAAAAATGACTTAGGCTCTTAATGCATCTAAAGAGCTACATCAGGATTTGTTGTTGTTGTTGTTGTTGTTGTTGTTGTTAGGCGCCACCGACTCATAGCAACCTTATACACAGCAGAACGAAACACTGCCTGATCCTGGGCCAACCTCAAACGTTCCCACGCTTGAGTCCATCTCATTGGGGGTCTTCCTCTTTCTTCCCCAGTCGCATTTTGAGTGCCTTTCAACCTGAGGGGCTCATTTTCCGGCACTATGTCTGATACTGTTTCTCTGCTATTCATAAGGTTTTCAGTGACTAAGTATTCGGAAGTAGTTCATCACTCCTTCTTCCTAGTCTGTCTTCGTCTGGAAGCTCATCTGAAACCTGTCCACATGGATGACCCTGCTGGTATTTAAAATACCAGTGGCATAGCTTCCAGAATCACAGCAACTCACAAGACACCACAGTACAACAAGCTGACAGATGAATGGTGGACATCAGGATGTCAATATACTTTAAGTGAGAAACGATATTACATTGAGTACTTCATTATCTGAAGGTTGCTTCTTTTCAAAGTATTCATTACGCAGCGAATGAGCCCTAGTTGCACTCTGGTTAAAGCACTCATGACTAATGAAAGTTCAGTGATTCAACACCAGCTACTCCTCAAGAAAAAGATGACAGTCTGCTTCTGTAAAGATTTGCAGCCTTAGAAACCCTATGGGGTAGTTCTCTGTCCCGTAAGTTTGCTATCAGCTGAAGTTGACTCAAAGGCAAAAAGTATTCCAATTAAACAGTATGTTAGTCCAGAAACACTAGAACTTTTTTTATTAGATAGACAGATAGATAGATAGATAGATAGATAGATAGATAGATAGATAGATAGATAGATAGATAGAGATAGATATAGATATATAACTGATGCAAAAGAGTAAAATTGCTTTTTCTTCTAGGAACACATGATTCTGTGCAGATTTGCAGATCAGACAGCTGTCCAGCTCCCACCCCAACGCAGGCTAATAGGTATGTGTTTTGCAGAGCAGCTGTTGTGTAGATTATGCACAATATATCTAGGAATGACTTTATTATGGGAGGAAAACAGTTCATTTACCAACAATAAATGAAAGTTTGTTTTTCCCAGAAAACTGAATCCATTTCGAAAAGAGCTTTGAAACTATAATAACATTTTATCCTATTTTGATTAATATTCCTACTTTTAAATATATTTTTAATGTTTATAAATTAAATAGAATGATAATTAAATCTTATTCTTACTATCATGGATAAACTGACAGATCTATCCAAAGCCACAAAGGAAGATAAGAAAAATGGAAATGTCAATAATGCCTGCCAAAATTAATACACTAAAAAATGTATTACCATTTTCTTTCTCAAAAATAAATATATTTGTGTATTAGTCATCATCGACCAAATTATTCAACATTTATAATACTAAACAGTACCTAAATTGGAAGACACATAGAAGCATTTTAAGTTTATGAAATAATTAATTTTAACAAATAGAGGAAGAACAGCTAACATCTATTATAATAGTAATAATAACAGCCAACATCTAAGCATACTGAGCTAATTGCCCTCTACCTATTATCTCAGTAAATTCTTACAAAAACACTGATGACACAAGTGCTATTATTTACATTTTACAAATGTAATAGAGAACTGAGAAAAAGACTTTTCTCAGAGTCCTTCAAGCTGGTAGATGAGGAAGCCACTATATGAGCCCAGATTATTTGTTTCCAGACTTGAAGCTCTCATCCACTTTTGCATACTGCCTCCTAGCACTCTGGAGCCACATCTTTTACTAAAAGGTTAATTTCTAAAATCAGGGTGTCAGATGACTGACTGAAGTTAAAATTCATCTTAATCCTTGTTTAGAAAACCCTACATTGGTGATCATCACACTGTTTCTCCATAATTCCAATGCAGCCCGTTTTCTCCAAAAAAGAAGTTGCTGTTTCTTTGATTGAGCATCAGATGCAGTAGTTAGCTTGTGTTCAGAGACCCTGCTGTAATATTAAAATGTTGTTGTTGTTGTTGTTGTTAAGAGTCTCTGCGACCCTCTACAGGGTTTTCGAGGAGTGGCTGGTGAGCTTGAACTGCTGCCGACCTTGCGTTTCAAACCAAAGTTGTAGTCTAGTGCATTAACCCACTACACCACACCAAGGGATGCCTTTAAATTTTAAAGGGATTGACTGAGGGAAACCTGGTTTCCTTCTCGTTCTCACACTCTTTGGCTTAAAGGAAAGCACTTGCTCTCTCAGGCAAGCTCTTTCTTTGACTCTCTTTCTCTAATTCTAATACATTGAACTTGGCAAATGTACATTCAGTACAACTCTACTAGACTCCTTGAAGAGATAATTCGTGTGGGGGATGGGTGTGTGCATGATTGATATGAATTTTAGGCATCAAACCAGAAGGAGTGGCTAGAAAAGATGGTGCTGGAGTTAAAGAGGAGGAGCATTTGGCCTGATCTGGGACAGATAATTGGGTGGGTGGGGGAAGGTTCAAACAAAGCCTTAGAATCCATCAACTATCTACATCTATACTTTGCATAAGGCAATCCTGTATTCTGTGACCATTTTAGGAAGCTTACCAGGCTCTAAAAGGTAAGCTACCAACTGAATGTCAACTATAAAGACACTTCTTCAACATGTGAAAACATGAGATTCTTCTACGTCATGGAAAAGGAAAAATTAACTTGACTGGGATCAAAGCCAAGAGTAAATGAGCTGCAATATAAACCCAGGGTGGGTACTGGAAGAATGTAGAGCATCTCAATCTGACAAAGAGAGAATGCTTCCTTTTAAATGGAAAAGTAGATGTGAGAAACATTGTACAGATGTCTTTCTTAAAGGAAGGACAAAATGTTAAGGGGGAAAAAAAATGTTAGCCATACAGCTGTGATGAGATGATTTGGCTTAAATGGAATTCTAGGCTTCTCTTTTTATATCATTTCTAACTCAGTTCATCTTTTTTTGGCATGGATCCTTTTGGGGAAAATGTACAAAACAAACATTTCAAATCTGAGACTCTTGTTGACAATTCTTACCTATTTATTTCACCTTCGCTGTTTTTCTCGTGAGAATTCTGTCTTCCACAGAAGAACTTCTCTAATTTAGTTCTCTGTCTTCACTTCTGAAGTTTGACAGTTTAGCAGTTATCAGTTCCCACTATCACTCCAAGAAGGTATTTAAAATAATGATTAGGCATTATTATAATTACTGAGAAAACTGTAAAACAAGTTCTGCTTAGTCAATAACCTTATTCTAAGAGGATAAAGAAGTTTATATGCTGAATTTTAAATAATTGAAAGTATAAAGCACACCATGACTTTGAATATATTCAGTTCCAAATCATTTTTCTCCTGAGTTATTTCTGAAATAGAAGTCAGTGTTTGCCAAAGAAAAACAAATTAACTGATTTGCTTGCCAGTCAGGTTTCCTCTTTTGGAAAATTGAATACTACTACTTTATAGGAGTGCAGGAGCTCTGAAAATTAAGAGCACATTAAATACATTATATATCCACCCAAAATAAGCATCAAACAAATGAGACTTTTCTCAAATATTTTCCATTTCTTATTTCTTCGATGCCCTAAAAAACTCTATCTAGAAAATGTGACATGTCTTTCTGATCTTTTGTCAGCATGTTACTTTAAATATATTTTTTAAAAAGATGTTATTTTCCACAATATTACAGATTATATATTTCATGGAGAATATAGCTAAAGGGGCTTTACATGGATTTTCACCCCAAACAAGAACTAGAATCTGTGGTTTTTATTTAATTAAGATTTATTCACAAATCCATTTTAAAAGGTTAACAATCTTAAATTATCAGCAGAGACAAATCTGTGAGTTGTCAGATGCTTATAATTTCCTTCTCCCCACATTGATCAAGCACTAAATTGCAAGAGACTAAACAGGACTTTGGGGAAAACAGCATTCTCCAGAGTCCACATAGATTTTTGTCACGGTCTCAATTCCCTTACCATTTTATTGTTTCAGGAAAACAGTGCATGTGCCTAGTGGATCTGGATCGGGCACGAGCTGCAGAAGAACGCGGGTACTCTGTCCAAGTGATATCCATGGAGCCAGAGAGCTGCTCTCCCAAAAATAATATGATCGTGGGAGTCCCCATTTGAATGGAGATATTCACATTTGATGTCTTGCCACCACTTTTCATGCTGAAAGCCCAATGGCATTCAGGAGGTTTCTGGCATAACTAGGAAATAGCATTAGCCATCTTGAACCTTCTGTACTCAGGAAAGAAAGCAGCAGGAAAATCTTGGAAGAAAGGCTGCCTGAAAAGCATCACAAATGCGCTTACAATATATGATTTAAAGGACTCTTGCTTTTCATAGTGAGAATCCCCTGAGTTCTCAGCTGCCAACAGAGTAATTCTCGCTAGTGGAGGTTCCATCACTGGAATAACAATTTCCTTCTCAGCTCACTGGCTTTTCTGACCTTACTAATGTGATGTTCAATGATTATGCAGTACTTGGAGCCTTTATTTTAGAATTATTTAGATCTTCACCTGGAGCCTGAAACTAGACTCAGTGGAGGGACTTTCTTGGTTTGTTTTTTATATTTTTACCAACTGTACTTTTTCTATGTCTTTTTAAATAATCTTGTCAGACAATTACAGTATGGCTATTTCTAAGTTGGGGTCAATCACTTGGAATCTAATGTCATCTAACACATTTTAAAAATATTTTCCAATAAATTGCTAAATGAGATTATTACTGGTACAAACATGCTATATAGATTATAGAATAAGTTCAATAAAACCTCTCATGTGGGTGCATGTAGGACGTAAATTCTAACTAATCAATAAATACATAGATTAATGAACTCAACTCCACTAATAATTATTGAAGAAGCAGTGGTGGTGCAGTGATTAAGCACTGAGCTTCTAACCCAAACAGTAGCTGTTCCAACCCACTAGCTACTCCACTGGAAAAACATATGGCAAACTACTTCTGTAAAGATTTACAGCCTTAAGACGTCTGTGGGCAATTCTATTCTGCTATAGGGTTGCTATAAGGAGCTCTGGTAGCATAGTGGTTACGAATCGGGCTGCGAACCAGAAGGTCAGCAGTTCGAAACTACCAGCTGCCCCACGGGAGAAAGATGACGCTTTCTGCTCCAGTAAAGATTTACAGCCTCAGAAACCCTGTTCAGGGTCGCTATGGGTAAGAACCGACTCAATGGCACATAACAACAACAACAACATAGGGTTGCTATGAGTCAGAATCAACTGGACAACAGTGGAAATTACTATTTAGATTGTTATTTTCAAGACCCTAGATTCTTCTGAAAGTATGACGATGAGTTTTAGGAGATACTACTCCTTGCCTATCTAAAAGAGAAAGATTAAAGAATTAGTGTATCCTTATGTCATAATATAATGAATGATCACAGGATTTGTTTTTTAGGTATCAATTTTTTTATTTGGGTTTTTATTTTTAGTACAATTGATTAAGTATAAATTGATGGTGGGAAGAATACAGAGTATGGAAAATTATTTGGATAGGCTTTCCATACCCAAATTCTTCTTTTTCTAGCAGCCAAAGTTTCTTAAGACATATGGCATTTCCTTTGATATATGATGCTAACTATTTAACTTTCACATATTCCACTTGAGATAAGATTTATTTCATTCATTTTGGTATTTTCAACCCCAGTACAATACATAGCACTAGGAGAAAGGACTTTAATTGGCCATAAATAACTCTTTCATCATAGTGAGTTAAAATATGGGAATAATTTATGGGGAATAAATAACTCTTTCATCATTTGGGTTAAAATACAGGGATAATTGAAGCCTTGTTTTCTGAGATAAAATTTAAGGGAATGATTAGCCATCAGCCCTGAGTACTCCTATTTTCATCCTTTGCATCCATAAACACAGCATGCTCTTGTATCCTGAGCTCTCTTTTTTAAACCCAGTTATAATTTACATACATTAAAATACTAGAATTTAGCCCAGAAAATTCCTCATACCCTTTTCCGTCAAACACCTTTCTACCCCAAAGGCAACCACTGTCTGATTTCTATCACCCTACGTTAATTTTGCCTATTTTTGTCGTTCATATAAATGGAATGATTTAGTGTGTAGTCTTTTGTCTCTGGCTTCTTTTGCATAACATAGTACTTTTTGAGATACATTCATGTTCTTATAATTAATAGTTTGTTCCTCATTCCTAAGTAGTATTCCATTACATGAGTATATCAAAATATATGCATTCTCCTATTGGTGTTTCTTTGGAAGGTTTCTACTTTGGGGTTATTATGAATAAGGCCTGTAAATATTCTTATACAAGTCATTTAATGGGTACATAACAGGGGGCTTCAAGAAGTTCATGGGAAAATAGAATTAAAAGATAACTGAATGTCTCCACAAACTTTTTGGAGCCCCCATTGTATGCTTTCTTTCTCTAGCAGAAGAATTGCTGGGTTATAGACTAAATAAATGTCAACTGCCAAACAGTTTTCCAAAGTAATTATACCATTGTACACTCCCACTAGCAATGTATGAAAGTTCCAGTTCTCTACACTCACAACACTTGAAATTGTCACTTTGTTTATTTTAGACATTCTGAATATGAAATGATAAACTCATTTTCAAAATGAATATTTTTATTTTGACAAAATCCAATTGTTCTTTTTAATTTTTATATTTTCTGTGCCCTCTCTAATAAACACGTATCTACTGTAAGACACCACTCAACTGTCAATTTGTTGTACAGTGGTGTCTTGTGTGCTGCTGTGATGCTGGAAGCTATGCCACTGGTACTTTAAATACAGTAGGGTCACCATGGTGGGCAGATTTCGTTGGAGCTTCCAGACTAAGATTAGGAAGAAAGAGAAGTGGACCACTTCTGAATGGTAAGCCACAGAAAACAAGAGTGTCAGAAGATGAACCCCTCAGGCACTCAAAATATGACTGGGAAGAGCTGCTTCTTCAAAGTAGTAGTTGTACTTGTTGTAAGATGCTGTTGAGTCCTTATTACTGTCCTTTTGTAGTTGTTGTCAGGTGCCATCAAGTCAGTACTGACTCATAGCAACTCTATGCACAACAGAAAGAAACACTGCCAAGTCCTGGACCAACCTCACAATCGTTGCTACGCCTGAGCCCATAACTGCTGCCAGTGTGCTAATCCATCACATTGGGGGTCATCCTTTCTTTCTCTGATCTTCCACTTCACCAAACATGATATCCTTCTTCAGTGACTGGTCCCTCCTGATAACATGCACAAAGTATGAGAGATGAAGTCTGGCCATCCTAGCTTCCAAAGGGCACTCTGGCTGTACTTCTTCCAACACGGATCTGTTTGTTTTATTGGCAGTCCATGGTAGTTTCAATATTCTCCTCCAACACCATAACTCAAATGCATCAATTCTTCTACAGTCTTCCTTATTTACTGTCCAACTTTCACATGCCTATGAGGTTATTGAAAATACCATGGCTTGGGTCAGGCTTCAAGCTGACATCTTCGCTCATCAACACTTTAAAGATGTTTTGTGCAGCAGATTTGCCTAATGTAATATATCCTTTTATTTCTTGACTGCTGCTTCCAAGAGTGTTGATGGTTGATCTGAGCAAAATGAAGTCTTTGACAACTTCAGCCTTTTCTCCATTGTTTATTGAATAAATATGTAAAAGAATACAACCCTGGCACACACCTTTCCTAATTTTAAACCATTCGGTGTTCCCTTGCTCTTTTTGAACAGCTGCCTCTTAGTCTATGTACAGGTTCCTCATGAGCACAATTAATTGTTCTGGAATACTCATACTTCTCAAAGTTGTCCATAGTTTGCCAAGACCCACACAA